CCCACGCACCCACAAACAGACACAAACCAACAATCTCAGGCACTAGAGCACACCCTGAAGAGCCATGTCTACACGTTTCTTAAATACTTCCAGGGATGGAGACTCCACCACCTCCCTGGGCAGGCCGTTCAGTGCCTGACCACCCTCTCAGGAAAGTCACTCTCCCTAATATCTGATCTAAACCTCCCCTGCCCCAACTTCAGACCATTTCCTCTGCTCCTCTCATTATTCCTTTGGCAGAAGAGGCCAATCCCCACTTCCTTTCAGGGAGTTGTAAAGGGCAAGGAGGTCTCCCCTCAGCCTCCCTTTCTCCAAACTAAACATGCCCAGTTCCCTCAGCCTCTCCTCGTATGACTTGTTCTCTAGACCCCTCACCAGCTTGGCAGCTCTCCTCTGGACACCTTTGCTGGGGGAAAAGGGGTGGTGCAGGGGGGCAGGTACCGCCATGAAAGCACCTTTGAGCTTTCTCAGCTCTGCGGGCTCTGGCTGCAGCTGGGGTCAGTTTTGGCACATCTGCAGCAGGGAAAGGCACTTGCTGCTGTGGAGTGCCCCTTGTCCAACACACAGCCTGTAACCATTTCCCAACTGAAATGTGGTTTTTCCCCAACCCCAGCTCCGACTCTAGCGATGACAGACAGAAATGGAAGAAGAAGAAAAGCAAAAACAGGGACCAGCACCATAAAAGCCAGAAGAAACGCCGCTCGCGGTCCCGGGATCGCTCCTCTGGCTCGAGCTCGGAGCGAGAGAGGGACAAGAGGAGAGCCCGGAGCAGGGAGCGGCGGAGGAAGAGAGATGGCTCCAAGTCTTCCGTGTCCTCTGTCAGCTCTCCCTCCCCGCCGCGCTCCCGGGGCAGGGAGGAGACGGGGCAACAGCTGAGCCTGCAGGAGCGCTTGAGGCTGAAGGAGGAGAAGAAGAAGCAGGCTGCGCTCATGAAAGCCTTGGAGACGCCAGAGGAGAAGCGGGCTCGACGGCTGGCCAAGAAGGAGGCTAAGGAAAGGAAGAAGCGGGAGAAGATGGGATGGGGAGAGGAGTACATGGGTTACACCAACACCGACAATCCCTTTGGGGACAACAACCTGCTGGGCACCTTCATCTGGAGCAAGGTGAGCTCTCCTCCACGCCTGTGTGTTGTTGGGTGCTGCTCGAAGGAGATCGTGTCTCTGCGGCTGCCACGGAATGGAACAGGACAGAGGAGATGTGGGGTGTCGGGAGGGGGGGGACTTTTGCTTGAGATGGGAACCTCTGAAACACTAAAAGCAGCCATGCAAGAGCAAAGTGCTCCTCTAGGGCAGCAGCTAGGTGTTTCTGACAAGCTCAGTGGGGTTTTCCCCCTTTTCTCCTGAAGACCAAGGTCTGTAGCCAGGGTGTCACCTGGTCCAGTGGCCTCCCTGGGCTGAGCCTGGGTTTTGCTGAGGAAGACCAAGGTCTGTAGCCAGGGTGTCACCCGGTCCAGCGGCCTCCCTGGGCTGAGCCTGAATGGCTTCAGGAGTAGGATTTGAGAGATTTAGGATCTTTGACAGGACCAGAGCTTACTGGAGCAGTGGAAGCAGAGGATGTGGCAGCATTTGCTGGCTGGTGAGGGGCTGTAGCAGTCGCTGGGTTTCATGGCTTCCCGTGGCCACTCTGTTTCAGGCCCTGGAAAAGAAAGGAATCAGCCACCTGGATGAGAAGGACCTGAAGGAGAGGAACAAGCGAATCCAGGAGGACAATCGCCTGGAGCTGCAGAAGGTGGGATCACATGTCCCCTCCTTCCCTCTCACCATCTGACAGAGAACCATGTGGACAGCCCAGTTCTCCCAGTCACTCCCCTGGAAGCCCCCTTGTTCTCCATGGGGGTGCCCATAGGCTGTATGATTGGGGGGGGCGCACAGTATACCAACTTCTGCTGTTCAGGGTGAGAAGACTCTTCTTTTGGGGTATCACATGTCCCCTCCTTCCCTCTCACCATCTGACAGAGAACCATGTGGACAGCCCAGTTCTCCCAGTCACTCCCCTGGAAGCCCCCTTGTTCTCACTGGGGGTACCCATAGGCTGTATGATTGGTGGGGGGCGGGGCACAGTATACCAACTTCTGCTGTTCAGGGTGAGAAGACTCTTCTTTTGGGGTTGGGGCCAGCTCAGGAAGTGCTGAGGAGGGCAAGTGCCAGGTCATGGCACTGAGGCACTTGGTTGTGCCTGTGTCCCCTGTCCTCCAAAGGGCTGGCAGGGAGCAGTGCGCACCGCAGCCACGCTGGCCCACACTGCCTCTTTTGTGTAGCTCCTGGCTCCCTGGAAGCCTCAAGGTTGATGGCAGGAGCCGAGGCAGCTCAGTGAGTGGGGTCAGAGCTGCGTCCTTGATTGGGTGTCCTGCTTGGCTGCCACATCGTGGTGGCCTCACGTCCCTCTCCAGATTGGGTGTCCTGCTTGGCTGCCACATCGTCCCTCTCTGTCCCGGGCAGGTGAAGCAGCTGCGCCTGGAGCGGGAGCGGGAGAAGGCGATGCGTGAGCAGGAGCTGGAGATGCTGCAGAGAGAGAAAGAGGCAGAGCACTTCAAAACCTGGGAGGAGCAGGAGGACAACTTCCACCTGCAGCAGGCCAAGCTGCGGTAGGTGTGCAGCTTCACGGGGCCGGGCCCACAGGGGAGCAGGGGGTGGCAGGAACCGCTCACTGTCCCTCTCTTCTCTCCCAGCTCTAAGATCCGGATTCGGGATGGGAGGGCAAAGCCCATTGACCTTCTGGCCAAGTACATCAGTGCAGAGGATGACGACCTGGCTGTGGAGATGCATGAGCCCTACACCTTTCTGAACGGCCTGACCGTCTCCGACATGGAGGATCTGGTGGAGGACATCCAGGTGCCAGCTGTGCCAGTGCTGGCCGAGGGGCAGCAGCTCCAGGCCCCTCAGCTCTGCTCCCCTGCCCGTGGCGCGGAGCAGCTGCCTGATGTCCTGCTTGTCTCCTGCCTGCAGGTTTACATGGAGCTGGAACAAGGGAAGAATGTGGACTTCTGGAGGGACATGACCATCATCACGGAGGATGAGATAGCCAAGCTCCGCAAACTGGAGGCCTCTGGGAAAGGAGGACCGGGTAAGGGGGAGGGCAGAGCCTGGGGTGGGTGTCAAGGGGAGCGTGAGCGGTGGGTGACACAGGGCGTAGGGTCTGCGCTTGGACTCAAAGGGGTTCTCTGGGATCTGCTGAGTGGAGGCTGTGGGTCTGGCAGCCAACCCCTTCTGGGGTCCAGCCTTCTGCTGTGGGGGGCAGCCCCGGAGGGCCTGGGCGAAGGCAGGCTGGGTGCTCGGACACTGACTGGCCGCCTGTCGTGGTTTCAGCCGAAATCACCGCAACCGAACCAACAGATGGCCCTTCCCCCCCCCCCGAAAGAGGAGAGGAAGAGATAAGGAGATTGAAAAGTTTAGAATTAACTAAACTACTTTAATCAAAAATAATATTAAAATAAAAGAGAAGAAAATAATGAAATAGATACAACATATATACAAAACCGTATCAAGCTCCCAGGATGACAGTCCCGTCACCAGCAGGCACTGGGGAAGTCCCAGACTGGACTC